ATCTTAAACCCTTACTATGTATTAATGAACCATTTTTGTGAGCCTTTGAATTACAAAGCAGTCTTCCCTAGCATGGGTCTTTCAATGCTGTGGATCACAACACCCATCTTCCATTACTATTAACCTTGCTAGTTGACAAGAAGGCATATAAATACCAAATTGGGGAAAATATATCTAAAGCAAAGCCTTACAAATATATATTAATACGTGTAAGGGTTTAAGATGGAAAAGAGTCTAATTTTTAACTTGATCTATTTTAAAAAATCAAAAAAGTAAAAGGATGACATACTAGATAGACCCAGCTAAAGAAAAAGGGGAGTGGTGTACAGTAGATGAATGCAGTATAGAATATAAATGGAAGTTTGAAATGTAGAAGCATCTTCATAGAGTGTGAAGTCCATATTCTGGGATAGAGGATTTCTTTCTCTGATATTGCAATATATAAAGTAGCCCAAACCTTGTATTCTGGATATGTATGCACAGTAAAGCAAAAAAAAAAAAAAAAAGTTTCCAGAAGTAGTTATTTATTTACATTTCTTATACTTGCCTACTCTGGTAACTCAGGTTAGTTTACAAAATCCAAAGACAATTAAAACAGTGCATGCTTTCCCCCAAGATAAAATAGAACGTGGCAGACAAATATGATTTTATCTTTTACAATATATAGCAATTTGAAATGGACCAGAGAATTCGTGCAGAAATGGACAGAAAGACTGCAAAAAGTATTAGGCAAGTAATGAGAGAACTGGCCTGGGAACAGGAAAAACATCACATTGGGTTGCGAAAAGTACATGAACGGTAAGGACCATTTTATTTTCTTCCTTTTTAGATTTTAGAAAATCTTTCCTAAAAGAAAGGAGCACCATGTATACGGCTTTGTACAAAAGATGGGAAATAAACCTTAATAATAACAACTTTAAATAAATAAATAAATAAAGTCCACCTTTTTCCAGTTTTGAAAGACATTAGAGGATATGCTCCAAACAACATAAGATGTTTTTGTTTTATTATTTGTTTTCTGTTATTCTGCAATTTGTAATTTGCATTGATACTTAAGCTGTATTAGCAGCCAAGAGTTGCTGTTGCTAGATGAGCAGCCATATAAATAAAATAAGTAATAAATGAAATCCTAATAAAAATTTAATTAAATTTATATTTACTTAAAATTAAATGTAGTCAATATGATTACTGTTTAATAAATGTAACTTTTATCACGTCAATACTGTAATAATTTGATAACAATACCGGAATTGGAGATTTCTGGATATTGCAACTTGAGTTTTTGGAAAACATGTAACTCTCGGTCTTCTGGGTATGTATCTTTGTTACTTAGTCTATTGTTAAATTGATACAATTAAAATTGCTTAAATATGTAAGGAGCACAAAACAAGATTGCTGTCTTTGCTGTGGCCCCACAGATACCGGGGCAATTTGGAGTATGACACCATTTTGGTCTGTGCCATGAGAAGTACTCACCGAATCTCCACATACAAACTATTGACAATCTCAGAGAGTTCATACCGAGCCAGAAAACAAATTCACCCAGGGAAAAGAAGAATAAGCAAATTTGATCGGAAAGGAAAAGAAGGAGAGCAAAGAAAAGATAGCCAAAGAGATATTAGTAAGGATTTACAAAAGTGTAGCAGAAACACTGCAATCATAATGAACGCAATATCTTGTACTCTTTTTCATGGTTCTGTATCAGCAGATGTTTTGTCAGATGGTATCTTTGCTCTGTCCTGCAACTTTTCTCTAACATTGCTTAGAATGTCATTTTCCAGTATTTATTCAAACCTTGATTAAAGTGAGTTACTACTTCCTGCAAGTATGTAATGTACTATCAGGTTGTGGCTCCTATGTACATTTCCCCCCCTATTGACATGATTATTAATACTTTTTTATTTTTATAATAATGATGAATTTTTAATGGGCTTGTTGAATTATATGTTATTTCAGTATTTCCCTGCATAAGAAGAATTGCACCTAAGGTGCTTTAATCCATCATGGAACAGGTAGTAATAAATAACTTCACATATCCCCTCTATAAAAAAGAAAGATAGAGGGAGGGAGATAGAAGTGGAGACAGAGAGATGGGACTAAGGAGGAAAATAATTTTGAAAATGTAAAGGCATAGATTGTATTATCTGTGAAATATGGAAAGAAGTAATGGAAACCTAGTTATAATATGACCTTGGTTTTGTAGAATCAGTAGGCTTTTCATTGATTTATTATTAAGATGAATTTTAAAAAAAGCCAACCCCTTAACATTTAAAATAATGCTAAAATGGTATCTTCTTTGCGGGATGCCTATAAAAGCACCTTATATTCTGTTTAATATATATTTGTACAGAAACAATAGTTACAGCCCAGGCTGCCATTGATGAAGAACCAGAAGCTGAAAAAACAAGGAAAAAATCCCAACCTCACACAGCAGCAAGCCGTATTGTTGAAAATCGAATGGAAAAACTTAGGAAAATTATTGAAAAAGCAGACAAAGCCAAAGCTAAAATCCAAAAAAGAAAAATGGAGTGGAATGAATTGTGAGTCAAGCATAATCTTCTCTTTGGGGCATGATTAAAAACATGTTTCTTAAAGTAGGAATAGTTTATGAATTATTTNTGTAGTCAATATGATTACTGTTTAATAAATGTAACTTTTATCACGTCAATACTGTAATAATTTGATAACAATACCGGAATTGGAGATTTCTGGATATTGCAACTTGAGTTTTTGGAAAACATGTAACTCTCGGTCTTCTGGGTATGTATCTTTGTTACTTAGTCTATTGTTAAATTGATACAATTAAAATTGCTTAAATATGTAAGGAGCACAAAACAAGATTGCTGTCTTTGCTGTGGCCCCACAGATACCGGGGCAATTTGGAGTATGACACCATTTTGGTCTGTGCCATGAGAAGTACTCACCGAATCTCCACATACAAACTATTGACAATCTCAGAGAGTTCATACCGAGCCAGAAAACAAATTCACCCAGGGAAAAGAAGAATAAGCAAATTTGATCGGAAAGGAAAAGAAGGAGAGCAAAGAAAAGATAGCCAAAGAGATATTAGTAAGGATTTACAAAAGTGTAGCAGAAACACTGCAATCATAATGAACGCAATATCTTGTACTCTTTTTCATGGTTCTGTATCAGCAGATGTTTTGTCAGATGGTATCTTTGCTCTGTCCTGCAACTTTTCTCTAACATTGCTTAGAATGTCATTTTCCAGTATTTATTCAAACCTTGATTAAAGTGAGTTACTACTTCCTGCAAGTATGTAATGTACTATCAGGTTGTGGCTCCTATGTACATTTCCCCCCCTATTGACATGATTATTAATACTTTTTTATTTTTATAATAATGATGAATTTTTAATGGGCTTGTTGAATTATATGTTATTTCAGTATTTCCCTGCATAAGAAGAATTGCACCTAAGGTGCTTTAATCCATCATGGAACAGGTAGTAATAAATAACTTCACATATCCCCTCTATAAAAAAGAAAGATAGAGGGAGGGAGATAGAAGTGGAGACAGAGAGATGGGACTAAGGAGGAAAATAATTTTGAAAATGTAAAGGCATAGATTGTATTATCTGTGAAATATGGAAAGAAGTAATGGAAACCTAGTTATAATATGACCTTGGTTTTGTAGAATCAGTAGGCTTTTCATTGATTTATTATTAAGATGAATTTTAAAAAAAGCCAACCCCTTAACATTTAAAATAATGCTAAAATGGTATCTTCTTTGCGGGATGCCTATAAAAGCACCTTATATTCTGTTTAATATATATTTGTACAGAAACAATAGTTACAGCCCAGGCTGCCATTGATGAAGAACCAGAAGCTGAAAAAACAAGGAAAAAATCCCAACCTCACACAGCAGCAAGCCGTATTGTTGAAAATCGAATGGAAAAACTTAGGAAAATTATTGAAAAAGCAGACAAAGCCAAAGCTAAAATCCAAAAAAGAAAAATGGAGTGGAATGAATTGTGAGTCAAGCATAATCTTCTCTTTGGGGCATGATTAAAAACATGTTTCTTAAAGTAGGAATAGTTTATGAATTATTTATTGTATATAATAATATCAAAATACAGTTCGCAACTTGGCAATTTGATCTGAAGTTATTTGATTTAGCAATAGCAATAGCAGTTAGACTTATATACCGCTTCATAGGGCTTTCAGCCCTCTCTAAGCGGTTTACAGAGTCAGCATATCGCCCCCACAG